CACGAAAGTGAGAATTTTTCTGATTCCTCTCTCAATCACATATTTGAATCCGAACATTTAAAGTTTCCTCTTTTCTACGAAAAATTAGCCTAACCTGGGATGTAAAATGTGAACAATTAAACTTCAGAAAATCGTAGGGAATTTCTAAGATAACCTTCGAAAATTGAACAGGAACGGAACGGTCATCTAGAAATTTTAGGCGTCCTCAAGTTTTAAAAATTTCTAGGCAATATCTACTTCTCCGAACATATATTTTACAGAAAACAGTCGTTGGGTGCCCCTGAAATGTGCTAGCTATAACGAGGTTTCGTTATATCGAGGGTTTTTTTTCATACGAATTTGCGCCAGAGTTTCAAGTGCTGGCTAAGTTCTCACTTGTATTCATCAACATAATGGCAAGTTCAAAGGTCGTAAATCACGCAAGTACCATAAATGTTTTCAGTTGTAAAAACTCGCAGTTTCAATTGCCCCAGAATTTTATTTCACAGATTGATAGGGGAAGCATTGCTCTTTCTCTGGAATACCATTTTTCTAATGAAAGCCATGTACCAGGAAGGGATTTTTACCGTTGAAAAGTGGCAAAATTGATGGTCGCAAAAATGCTGATTTAGAGGGTAATTTTGAAAAAAATATAAAAAAATCAGATTGCAATCTTTTGAAATTGTAACAACGTTCAGGTAGAAAGGAAGGATCAAAAAATTGTTTAATATAAGAAAAGTCATGGTATTAGTTTCCGTTTCCATTCACAAAGCGAGGGTATCAAGCACATTTTTCGGTGGTTTGAAGGCCTCTCGAAGGTAAAAATTAAAAAAAATTATTATTTTGGAAAATATTAAGTCAAACGAACTGAGTCTTGTATTTTCTGAAATAGTTTCCAAAGGGCTTTGTTGTGACAAAGTTTGAGGGATTTCGATTTTTCCATCTTGCACACCTATCCGTGGTACTTACAGAAAGTCGCTCTTAAGTTTTGTAAAAGCGGAAAATAGGTTATTTGTGCTTATTGAGATGACCGCATTTGTTTTTTTTTTCTTTTTAAATACCTCGAGATTTCAGAAATTCCCAAGCGCTTTTTTCGTGCTTTGTAAAATCTGAACTCTATAAGAACACGAGGTGTCAGGTGTAGATTCACTGACATCTACAGATTTTACTTACAGACCTTACAGAGGAGAAAAATTAAACACGTCGGATTTAAGCGTTGTTATTAAGTTTTCGAGTTCTTTTAAATATTTTTGTCTTTAAACGTCGCCGTCTGGACTCACGTTTCAGCATTAAGAGTAATCGTGACATAAATTTGCTATGTGCAGTGAAACCTCTATTCAAGGGACACCCTCGGGACCAAGGCAAGAGTCCCCTGAATCGAGGTGTCCCATCAATAGAGATAACAAATACAACTTGTGTACATTTTCCGGGACCAAATTATGTATCCCCGGGATTGAGGTGTCACTTGAATAGAGGTGCCCCAAAGGAGAGACCACTCAACTTTGAATTTTTTTGAAGAAATTAACAGGTTAACTAAGGAATTTTTAATCGCATCA